TCTCCAATCCACGCGGCGCAGCCGGGTCTATCACGTTCCCTGTTCTCCGGCCTCGAGTGACAGAGTCCCCAAATATTCAGCATCCGCAAGATCCACTCTGTAAGTTAAGGAACTGTCCATCTGGAGAGCTTTATTTTTGTGTGATCTGTATTGCTCTAGCCTCTTTATGATAGCAACATCAATAAAACGATTTTCTTTCTTGATGGCCCTGTAGATTTTCTAGTTTTATAAATCAGTCTTTTCCTTTTTCCTTTCCCTCTCCCTCCCCAGCCGCCAAAGCAGTTTTGCTTCCCTCTGGCGTTTGTACCGGGACTCTTTGAAGCTGTTTGAAGAAAAACTTCCCTGGCAACAAAAAGTTTGGAAGAGGTTCTTGTGAAAGTCTCTTCCTGCTCGAAGATTTCGGAAGGCTACTGAGCAATCCCCCTGGCAGCGCTTCCGAAGGCGGCTCTGCTCTGCGCTGGAGGTGAACGAGGCCTGTCCCAAGTTTCCTACTTCACTCTGAGTCCCTGCGGCTCCAGTCTTGCGTCTGCGACGCGTTTTCCAGAGCCAAGCAGAAGCGTTCCTGCCTCCACTTCTGGCCTCTAAGGTGGGAAATACAGAGGCCTCCTTTGTCTCCACCTGCGGTTCCCATGGTCAAGGATTGGCGCTGGATCTCAGTGCCTCTCCTCAGTCACCCAGTTGCTTTTCAGTTTCTTCACAGCAGGGCTGGGCTCGGGCTCACAGGGACTCAGTGGAGCTCCACACCACGGCACCCTCTCTTCCTCTCCAGAACCGCTACAGGAGTGGCTCAGAATCACCATGACTCTCCACCTGCTAAGGCTGGATGAGTTGAGAGGGCATTAGCCGCATGCCCCACAAGGCACCTGCCCGCTTTTGAAGCCAGTCCCAGTGAACCTGTAGTGAACTGGAAACTGCAATCGTGCCAGGGACTTCAAACGCCAAGGGAAGGGCGCAGGGGCATAGCTAAGTGTACAGCACCTGTCCAGCAAGTGTGAGGCCCTGGGGAAGATTCCCCAGCACCACAAAAACAACCAGGGGGGCATTGAGAAAGTGAGCACAGCAGCTCATGGGCACATATTAAGCAGATATCCTGCCTGTAATTTCAGCACTCTGCAAGGCTGAGGCAGGAGGGTCACAGCTTAAACCCAGTCTATGAAACTTAGTGACTTAGTGAGACCCTGTCTCAAAATAGAAAATGATAAGGGCTGGAGATATGGAGGTGTAGCTCAGCACAAAAGCCTTGTGTTCGTTCCCCAGTACTTTTTTTTAAGTGCCGGAAGTCACACTGGGCTGAAATTTTGTGATGAAAATAGTTTCTGTGGGTTGGATTAAGTATGAGATGATTTTCTTCTCATTTTTTGGTTTGTGTTTGGAGACAGAGTCTTGCTTAGTCTAGGTTGTCTTTCGCCTCGTGGTCCTGCCTCAGCCTTCCCAGTTGCTGGGATTACAGGTGTGTGGCATCATGCCAGGTCCACTTTGAAATATTTTCAGTGCTGTGAATTTCTTTACAACAAAAATGTGCCTGTAGACACTTGGCTCTGTGTCTCCTAATCCCCAAAGGGTTTCCTGATTCCCAGAAATATTTTTCTTTTCTCAAAATGTCTGCCACCTCTTTGGGTTTGCTCTGCTGTGTCACAGTAACCAGTCCTTCCTGTAGTTCCCGAGGGGCCGGGAAACTACATTTCTGACATCTCAGAGCCTAACTAGGATGACTTCTTTGTCATCACCGCTTGCTGAGTATTTATGACAGTAAAAATGCATCCTAAGTGCTGTATTTGCTCATTTATAAATTCTTTTTCAACTTCAAATTTACTTTAATGATATGTAGAGAGTTAAAAAATTATAATTAAAATGAAATCCATTTTGTTAACTTTACGTAACTTAAAATCATGCAGCACTGCATAGAAAAGGCACCAGCCTCATTCATATACCAAAAAAAGTATGGAGACTTTTGAGAATATCTTGAGATAGGTGACATAAGCCTTTTGCAGAGGATTTTATAAAAATTTAAAGACCCCATTTATCAATTAATGCATTAGGAAAGAACAAATATTACTAGTAAAGTTAAAGGTGATTAACTTTAAAATTATACCTGGTACAGGATAGAATGCAGTCTCGTGAAATAGATGTTAAGAAAATAATTTTGAAAAAAATCTCATTGAAGCCATGTACTAGTTTCATTGAATCAGGTTATGCAAATTAGTAGTCAGTGTGGGTTAGGGTTGTGGTAGTCAGGGTTTGCAAGGGAGTAGATTTCACACAGGACACATAATTTATAGGATTATTTTATAATATTCACCCCAAAAGTCAAATGCAGAGGGATGCAAGAGATCTGTCCACACACTAGAAACCCAAAGAATCCAGCCAAGGGCCTGGACCCCATGGCAATGTCCCGCACAAGTCCAGCTGAAGGCCTGGAGCCCAAGGCAGTGTCCTCCACGAGTCCAGCCAGAAGCTTAGAGCCCACGGCGATGTCTCTTGCTTGTCCTTAGGGAGGATCTGCACCAGGAAGGCCCAAAGGCCAGTGGTGGAAGCTAGAAAGTCTTTGGCAGGGTGAAGGATCTGTGCCACCAGGCTGAAGGATCTACACTGGAGCCCAGAAGCCATGTTCAAGAGAAGACCAGAGCACCCCCGATGAGAACAGCAGCCATCTTTGGTGACAGCAAGGACAGGAGCTCCTCTGTCTTGAGAACAGCCGAGTTCATAGCAGGAAAACCCTGTCAAGCTTCTCAAAGAAAATCAACAGCATGAAATCTTTCCCTCTAGTTCTCCTCTGACGGAGTTGGCAGTAATTCTCAAGTGGGTCTTCCACGCCCAGAGCCACACTGACTCAGTTCAGCTGAGCATTCTAAGTTGACCATTAGTTAGCCCACCACCGTCCCCTCCTCCTCCCCTCCCCCTCCCAACTCCCCTCCTCTACCTCTTTTTCTCTTTTCTTCGCTTTTTTCCCTGGTACCAGGGATCGAACTTAGGACCTTGCACTTGTGAGGCAGGCACAGTGCCACTGAGCTAAATCCCCGGTCCCCTGTCTCCTCTTATACCCATAAATAGTATGTATAGTTTTCATACACAAGTGAAGGAATGTTCATTGTAAAAAATATACTTCCAATCCACTTATTAACTTTTGAAATAGTTATTTATCTACACACTGAATTGCACTAATGAAAATGTGCAATTTAAATCACATTTAGCCAGCATGGGATTCTAAGTAACTAAAATCCACTGTCCAATAATGGAAGTAAGGTCTTTTTGCCTGGCATTTGATCTTCAGCATTTGTATGTATTTGGTCCATGTAGGAGGCAGAGCACCAAGAGGCGTCCACCTCGTTTTCCATCACATACAAAAGAGGGGAAAGTCAGTCACTCATCCCTCACACATCTCCTAAGTCAAAATCGTACCCACAGTCAGTCTCAAAGTGTGAGGCAGAATCAGTCCTGGATTACTCTAGCCTTCATGAAATGTTTGTTGGATCTGTTTGGTTCACATCTTATTCAGTAAGACCTCCACAATCTCCTCATAATCTCGTCTTTCTGTTCCCTCATTCCTCGCTGGCAGATCTCCACATTAGCTTCATCCTGAAGTATTCCATTGTCTTTGTAATGGAGTTCTTTCCTCTTTGGTACTGTCCCAAGGAAAGTAACCCAGGAGAGATTCCCATGCTCCCTTTCTCACTGAATGGCTAAAACCCCTCTGCTATCTGTTTTGTATGACCTTCAAAAGATGGTGAGTGACCCCTATTTTGACAATTCACAAGAAGTATCCTTTCATCTTTTTTTTTCTCTTTTAGTTTATTGGTACATTTTAAGTGCACAGTACAGTTACATTCATTATTGGGATCTTGTACCTTTACATGACAAGTCTTGGTTCTCATTTTTTCCCCTTATCCCTGCCCTCCCTTCACCCCCTCCTCCCCTCCCCATTTATAAACACTTTATTTCCATTTTTTCTGTATTCTCATCTTGAGAGTCACACAATAGCACACATTTTTCAAGAGAGTCAATCAGGTTTGCTTCTTGAAGAAAGTGCAGAGCAGGAATCCTTTAGACAGAATACCAAATACAACCAGCCCCACCCTCTTAGTTTTTAAGTGTTTTGGTTTCAAAACAGGGTCTCACGATGTAGCCCAGAATGGCCTTGAAGTCACAGTGACCCTCCTGCTTCTGCCCCGAGTGCTGGGATTACAGGGGTGCACCACCATGCCCTGCACCCCCTTTGTTTTGCGTGACTGATTTCAGGTCCCTCAAACTGAACAGGAATGACTGTTTGCTTTTTCCATTCCTATGATGTAGAGTGTCTCCATTGCTGTGCGGTTCCTTTTTAAAATGAGATTGTATTAACCACATCCCACTCGGCTTCACACCTATTCCGATGTTCCACTCCTCAGTGCGCTTTCTCTTGGGGCCTGGGTCCCTTCTACAACTGAACTGGAGTCCTGTCCAGAGTAGCGAATACTAGAAGAAATAAGCACATTGTCCAGCGGGCTCCAGTCCACAATTACTTCTGCATCCTGATATTAAGTTGAAAGGGTGAGCAGATATATGCCCCTTCCTGTTCACATCTAATCTAACCCCAGTTCCTAACCAGCTAGGAGGGCGTTACTGAACCCCCATGGAACAGCACCACACACAGCTCCGTGGAAACACCACAGAGACACCTGGGAAATGTTTTAGCAGTGCCCTTCCAGACCAGCACAGGTGCTCCCTCCTCTCCGACTTGCGCCTTTCTGCTCACCTGGGTTTGCTCGCTTAAAACTCCCAGTAGCCCTGCGAGAGGCCCTGGTTCCTGTCCCACCCATTGGAAAGCAGTCTCAGAGATCAATACCCTGCCCTGTCACCCAGCTGGGAATGGGGACCCAGAGTTCCAGCCCTGGACTGCTGGGTTTCAGAACCCAGGCCCTTGACCACCTGCGCATTGCCAGGCAGGACGGCCCGGATGTGACAGAGGAGGCTTTGAATTTTGTGACACACAGTTTCCTCTAGTTAAAGATTCTAAAACATGATAAACCACAGTGCATAGTCCCCAAAGTTGTCCATATTCTTATCCTCCAAACTGGCACATATGCCCCCTTGCCTGACCCCCCTCCAAAAAAAAGTTTGCACATGAAATTAAATTAAGGCCTCTCATGGAGAGATTTTCCTAAACTGGGTGGGTCCCTTGTAATCACAAAGATGTTTTAAGATAGAAATAGAAGAGGAAAGCAGGAGCCCACTCATTCCTCCCTCTCCACTAGCTCTTAGTAACTGTCCTTTTGATTATCTCCATAGTTTTGCCCTTTTCAAAATGTCATAAAGTTGGAATCCTCACTTACACACTCTAGGTATAATCCTTGCCCAAATGGCTTCTTTCCCTTAGGAATTGCACTTAAGGATCCTGCATGTCTTTTCAGGTTTGGTAGCTCATTTCTTTATAGCTGAGTAATAATCCATTGTTGGATGTACAGAATTTAGCCAGTCACCTCCCAGAGGATGCCAGGTTGTGTCAGTTCTGGATAAACTTGCTGTCATTGGCTGTGTGCAGTTTTTTGTATGGACATTTTTTTCAATTTGTTTGGGCATGACTGATGGATCATAGAGTAAGAGCATAGTTTAGTCCTGTGATTTTTTTTTCACATTTAGATCTTTACGTGGAATTTCTTTTTATGTAATGTATGAAGTAATTAAACGTTCCCCCCCAAGATGAGTAGGAATTTGTACTGACACCCTGTCTTAGTTACTTTTCTCATTGCTGAAGCAAAGTACGCAACACACAAAGTTAAAGGGGGAAAGGTTTATTTAGCTCGCAGTTTGTAGAGGTTTCAGTACATAGTTGGCTGGCTCCAGGGCAGGGTGGCATCACAGAGGAGAAACAGTTCATGGCAGGCAGAAGGCAGCAAAAGCAGCAAGCAACAAGTGAGAAGCCTCTTTCTGCCCCTTCTGGCTCCACCAGGCTCCCTGCCCTCAGGGTACATAGCACTCACCCCTTCTTCCTAGCATCACACCATAAATCAGTCCCAGCATCACACGCTATAGATCCAGATCCAGCCACCTCTGAAAAGCACCCCCAGGGGACAATAATCACTGCCTACAGAGCTGATATGAAGGTGAAATGGAGAATGAACATGAGGGAGGGGTCTAGGAAAGTACAAAACCTTGCACCCTGGCTCTCTGTGTATGGGCGAGGGTATCATGAGGACTCTGGGGGTCCCTCCTGGGCCAAGGATTTAGCTCAATGGTGCTGCCACCTGCCTCATAAGCACAAGGTCCTGAGTTCATTTGATCCCTGGTACCAAAAAAAACAAAACAAAACTCCAGGGCCTCCTGCATGCAAGGCACACATCCTACCACTGAGCAACTCCTTTTCTGAGGCTTTAAAAGCATCCACTCATCTAGGAAGCCATCAAGAGCCGTCAAAGGACTCTCAAAGCACAGGCCATCTCTGAAATGTAAACATCAGTGCTCAGTGTTTTGGGGGTATTTGAGTGTGGGCTTTGGCAAAAGGACGGAGAAGGCAAGTGAAAGGAGACAGCAGGTGGTAGGGAATGAAGTGCCAGTCTGGACACCCTTGCATCCTGTCCTGTTGATTTCAAGACAACACACATGCTACTTGTCAGACTGTGCATCTCCCAGGGCGAAGGACTTGCGTCGGATTCATTTTGATAAGCACAGAGCTTGATGTATGGGACGCTCTAGAGAACAGAATCAAGGGGTTTGTTATATCCCCATGGTGGAGAGTCTGCTGTGACCACATGGCTGTACCCTGGAGCTGGAGTGTACAGCTGAGGCTGCAGCTCCTCTGCCCAAGGAGACGGGAGCCACAGAACAAGAGGGAGCACGAATACAGCACCAAGCCAGTTACCTGTAATTGCAGAACTCAGGAGGCTGAGGCAGGAGGGTTGCTGTGAGTTCAAGGCCAGCCTGAACTACATGGTGAGTGAGGCCTGTCTCAAAACACACACACACACACGTGCATAGAAACAGCAGCAACCCAAGGTCAAAGACCTGGACACTCACTGGTGAGTTACCAGTGTGAGTCTGCCCTGGAAGGCTGAAGAAATGGAGACCTGGAGATGGAGGCGATGGCAACAGAAGATACACCTGCTCAGGAATGCTGACGGTTCTCCAAAAGAGCACACTCCCTTCTTCTTTCCTCTTATTCCCTCCAGGCTATAAATTGGCTGATGCCGCCCACAGCTGCAGTGGGTCTCCCTCCTTCAGTTTGCTGGCCCGTGTCAATCATCCACAGACACAGCAGAGCTGTGCTTTGCTACCCTGGCAGGTGTTTCTTACTCCACTGAGTAAGAGCCTGACACAGCTGTGATTAACAGTCACATCTGACCACTGAGTGTCCACTCGGTCTGAGTTAAATAAATGGAATTCTCTTTAGGATTCATTGGGAAGGTAAAGGGAAGAAAGGCTAGAGAAAAGGGTCTCTCTTCTGATCTATCCTTGCTGCAGAATATTCCTTACTCTTGTAAGGAATCCACCTTACAGCCATATTCCTGCCAAGTAAATAGTGGACTTGACTTTTTCCCCAGCCATTGTGACCTGGTTGTCCAGAGCCTTCCCACAGTTCTGCAGCCCAGACCCCAGAGCAGGAAACAGACCAGGACCATGTGTATGGGGGAGTCTGCCCCAGAGACAGAGTAGGCAGGTCAGTGTGCACCGGGGAAGGTGGGACTGCGCCTGCCTGGAGAAAGGAGCTCTTATCCATTAACGGGGAGGCTGGGTTCCCGGATTACTTGTAAACCATTAATTTTTAGGCTCGTAATTGACATCTTATGCTCCTCTGCCTTGGGCCTTGTGGCTGGAATAAAGAATAAAGGCCTGCCGGGTCCACGTGCAGGAGGAGTTGAGGCTGCACCCAGGCCACAGGAGGTGAGGGCGGACACAGCAGGAGCCCTCTCTTTGGACAGCCAATGTGGAATCCCCTTTGCACAGCTGTGTCAATGAATCAAGCACTTAGGATCCTTCACTGGTGAGTGAACAATTCGTCTGAAGTTTTAAAATGTAAACTCTCATTTAGCAGGGTTCATTACCCAGGTGCTTAAATCCTTGCTTCCCACTTGCACAGCTGTTCCTCTTAGGGAAACCTAATCTCTCTCCCCTGCTTACACAACCTAGGATCAGAGTGGATCCCTTGTTGCTGTTGTTAACACCCCAATTAAATAAAAAAGCGAGGGGAGAATCCTTGCTGAGGAGGCCAGTTTGCAATGCAATGGAAAGATTTGAATAAATGAAAACTTCAAGAAAAGTATTCACAGCTTGGTGGGGTAGCCTACGCCCTGACTCTGGGAGGCTGAGACAGGAAGATCCCAAATTGGAGCTCTGCCTGGGCAACTAAGCGAATTAGCGAGACTGTCTCAAAATAAAAAAAATGTTAAAGGCTGGGGATGTAGCTCAATGCAAAGGCCCTGGTTCAATCCCCACTATGGGGTCAGGGGACATTCATAAGGCCAGAAGTTTAATAAAATGCGAATTCAACTCATTTTGTGGAATGAGACCAAAGTGAATGGAATGGGAGCTGGCAGAGCTGAGGGAGTGGAAGAACCGGAATTAAATCGCTGTTGCTGCGGTCTGGCCATTGCGCACACCTGGGAAAGAGTAGAGAGACGCTCTGGCCCTGCTGCAGTCCCCCACCTCGCCACTAGGGGCGGCCGCGGCCTGCGCCGTGGCCACGGCCTCAAAACTGCGCAACCTGGGTTTCCAGCCGGGCCCTTTTCGTGGCTGGGCCGCCAACATGGCTCCTCCCGGGGTTGGGGCCCCTGGAGGCTCCACGCCTTCGCCTTCCTGACAGCGCCTGGCTTCTGCGCGACCTGGGTCTTCCCCCGGCTGTCCCAGCAGACATGTTCTCCAAAGCCTTTCGGGTCAAGTCCAACACGGCCATCAAGGGGTCGGACAGGTGAGGGAGACGAGGCGCTTCTGTGCTCGTCTGGCCGCTCGCGGTCTGGATGGGCAGCGCCGCCGAGCTGGGCCGAGGCCTGGGGTACAGCTGGGAGGGACCCCGCGGGCAAGGGGAGAGAATGCGTTAGCTCCAGTCCTTTGGGTATTCTGATGAAATTAAAAGAAAGAGAATTCAGCCCGCTGTTACGGACCGCAGGCTGTGAAGGTGTAGTGGAGGGTGTGAAGATGAAAAAATATGAGATCCCCGCTCACCGCAGAGTTTAGAGCCCCTTGGGAGAGATCAGATAGGGCCCTGATAACTTAAAAAACAGGAGAGAAAGGTGTGCGATGATTCCTTGTGTTAGGAGAATCAGCTGGAGTGAGTTGGGAGGAAGAACTGTATCTCATCAGTGTTTTCCTATCCCTTAAATGGAAAGATAGACCCAGGAACGTGTGAAAATAGAGAAGACCAAAGATGAGAAAGAGAACAAGATTTTGGAGGAGTGTGTGAGAACGGGGAGTCAGAAACCAGGCCGTCTTCCTGTGGCCTTTATAATTTTATAGTGAGTCCTGCCAATTTCTCTATATTAGTTAAAATCTGTCCAGTAGCATTCATGGTGCCAGTGTGCTCTCTGCAGGAGAAAGCTTCGCGCTGATGTGACAGCTGCTTTCGCCACCCTTGGGACAGATCAGGTCTCTGAGTTAATACCTGGAAAGGAGGAGCTCAACATTGTCAAGTTGTACACTCACAAAGGGGATGCGGTGACCGCGTACACAAGTGCTGGCAACCCCATCCTGTTTGAACTGGAGAAAAATCTGTATCCTACAGGTATGGCAACAATGGAGATGCCGGGACTACAGTCCTTGCCTAATACTGCTTCTCTGTGTTTCTTCTGTTCTCCTGCCTCCCTATAGGTCTCCCAAGACCACCTCTAAGGATCTTTGCAAACCTAGCATTTCTACAGTTGGGTCTTCCAAAACCAGAAACTGTGATAGGAAAGGCACGTGCACACACACACACACACACACACACACAAAGAGTGGTGTTTACAAAGGAAAGTTCTGAGGAAGAAAAGTTTGCAGTGGGTTAACTAGAGAGAGAGGAGAGGTCTTGCTAAGGATGGGATTCCAGGTTATGTAAAATATGTTCCTTAAAAATGCCTGTAACAAGATATTCTTAAAACACTGAGGAGAGATACTGTGCTAGATAGCAGCTAGAACTATCTACCAAATTGTCTTCACGGTGTCTTCAATTAGAATGCCTCTCAGAGATTTATTCTTCAGCTCTGCCTGACTCTCTAGAATTCTTTGTTTTCTTTCTTTGTCACAGGTTTCAGAGACTCAGTCTTCTTTTCTCTCTGCCACAGCTGCCAACACCTGTTTTGTTATGTGGGGCTTTTCTCCCTTCAAGGTTGGCTGCAGTCGTGTGGTGGTCTCCTTAGGCCGCCTCTCTTCCCCCACTTCCCTGCTGTGCCAGACCCTTTGTGCACAAAGGCTTTCACTGCTCTTCACCATGGAAATGGGAAATAAAATGACAAACATGAGAAAGTTTCAACATTTCTTACAGACTGGCTCCGTGTTTTTAAGTCACTTGATTCCGAGGTTATGGATGAAAGCCTTGTTGGTTTCCTGCTCCACTTTGACTTCTGTGTGGCCATTTATTTCTGCTTCAATCCAGGTGGAGCAATAGGTGTTTCAAATCCCAAGTGACGCAGTTCCTTGAACCTCCTCTCCTCTTGAGTGAAACCTCCATGGGCCTTCCCTCCAAGCCTTTCCTCTGGCTTTGATAGCCGCCCTTGCCCTCACACTGGGGATTTGAACTCATGGCCTGAAGCGTGGTAGGCAAGTGCTCTCCTACTGAGCTACTGAGCTACATCCCCGGTGCTTTCTCCACCTGTGAGCTGAGTTTCTTTCCTGTATTCTAATTAAAGTGACCAGTGTCAGGCTTTGGTAGTTCTCTAGTAGACTGACTCTTTGGTAGTGAGTGTTTTCTGTGTCTGTTTGTGCAGTGTACACACTATGGTCCTATCCAGATCTTCTGCCGACCTTCACAACATGGCCCCTAGTCCTGGAAAAACTGGTAGGGGGAGCTGGTAAGAGGATTTTCCTATATTCTAGCTATTGCCTGAGATCTGTGTAGTGTAGGCCAACTGACCTAGTAAAACTTGCCCATTTCCTGTATTCATAGGGGTGACAGTGGCATTTTCCCCGTGTGTGCGTGTGTGTGTGTGTGTGTGTGCACACGCGCATGTGTGTTACCCATCTCAGTTGGGAGTCCTCTGTGCGTGTGTGTGTGTGTGTGTGTGCACACGCGCATGTGTGTTACCCATCTCAGTTGGCTGAGTCCTCTGGGCCTTTTGGACTCTGTTGTAAGCCTTATATAAGATAAGTGATATGAAAGGACTTTGTGGACTGCCATCAACTGCACTTCAAGTCACAAAGCTGAATTCAGGAAACCAGCACAAAATAGAGCACGATATAGGACACTCAGCCTGGTGCTTTTATTTGACCCACTAGACCCCAAAAAGAGAGCAGATATTCAAGTTTCTGTTTAAAAAAATTTTCCTTGTAACACAGCTGATTCCTAGTAAATATTTCTTGGTCTGGTGAATGAATAAATGATGAAATAACAAGTGGAATAAGGTGGATCCAACAGTTGTGATGCTTTTGTTTGCTGCAGATTTGATGCTTCCGGGACTCGTGGTGCCCCCTGCTGGTCTGCCCCGGGTACAGAAGGGCGAGCTCTGTGCCATTGCCTTGGTGGGGAACAGGTACTGTGACTGGCAGCAGTGTGGGGAAGAAACAGAGGTAGAAGGGAGGCAGGGGGAAATGGCAACTTCCGAAGCACAGGGACAAAGCATTAAAGGAAAAAACAGGTTCTTCTGGAAGAAGCAGGTGTTGGGTGCTGGGGAAGAGGGCATTGAACTTGTGGCGTGTCCAAGTCTAGGCAGAGGGTCCTGTGGCTGCTGCTCTTTTTTTTGTCTTGTCTCACTGTGTATTCCAGACCAGCCTCAAACTTGCTACATGGCCCAGGCTGGCCTTGGACTAATGATCTGCATCTCTTGGGTGCTGAGATTACAGGTGTGTGCTATGATATCCAGCTGGCTGCTGCTTTTAACTACAATAAAACAGGGCTGGGGATTTAGCTCAGCGGTTCGGTGGCCTGCCTTGCAAGCGCAAGGACCCCAGTTCAATCCCCGGTACCAAAAAAAAAAAATCCAATAAAACAAAAAAATTGAAATAACTTTTAGCCTGGCATGACAGTGCACACCTGTAATCCAAGCACTGGAAGGCTGAGGCAGAAGGATCAAAAATTCAAATCCAGCCTGGGCAATTCAGGGACCTAGGGAGGCCCCGTCTCACAATTTAAAAGGTGGGGGTGGAGATGTAGTTCAGTGTGAAAGGCTCTGGCTTCAGTCCTCAGTGCTGCCCAAAAACAATTTTTCTGAGTTTTACCGAAGACTAACGCAGTGCACGGTTCCGCTGTGTTCCGGGCCCAACTCTCCCATGCTCGTATCTCACCTAAGCACGGTGCCGTCCCGGCTACAGGGTTGACCCGGGGCAGCACTGCTCACCCCACTGCCGCATGTGTTCTTGGTCCCCTCTTCTCCCGCTCGTGGGTGGCCTTTTCCATTCAGGGATCCCGTGCGGCTACCACATGGCATTTAGCCGTCGTATTTTCTAGCCTCCTTCTGTCTGACGTTCTCTTGGTCTTTGTGTCTTCTCACCTTCATACTTTTTTCCCATCCTCCACATTATCATCTTCACTTTTACATTTTTTTAATTTTTAAATTTTTTATTGAGATATAATTTACATAGCATAAAAATTATCTGATTTAGACATACAATTGAATGACTTAGTATGTTTACAGAGTTATTCAAGCGTCACCTTGCTGCTGCCTTTTTTTTTTGTCCCGGAGATTGAACTTGGCTCCTTGCACTTGCAAGCAGGCCACCAAACCGCTGAACTAAATCCCCAGCCCATCCTTGCTGCTGCTTTTTAAAAATAAATTAGGAAGGAATTTTATGAACAATTCTGAAAATGAAAAGCCCTCTTGCCCCACAGTCCTCAAAGAAACTTTTTTTTCATAACTTCCCTCCCCTTCTTCAATACGTCTATGCATGGGTGTATACAAATCTATGATTTGGGGTATATGTGTTTAAAATACAAAGAAACTACACGGTGTATATTGTTTTTTCCCTTGCTATGGTGTGGACATGTTTGTTCCACACCAGCACACATACTGGTAGATCTATCAGACCTCTTACCTCATATGTAGTGGTGTTTGGTCTCTTTCCTGCAGGACAGTGAGGTTGCCTATAATTTGTGTTATTACAAACAATATCTTGTGACTCTAGAAGCACCAGTGCTGTTCATTTGTGTCATGGATGGATGAATTATATTTCATTTCCTTCATTGTTTGAGAGAAGGAGAAATTATAGGCAAGATTTTTAAAGGTGTGGGATTTTTTTGTTGTTGTTTTTGCTTGTTTGTTTTTGTTTTTGGTGGTACTGGGGATCACACCCAAGGCCTTTGCACTGAGCTACATCCCCAGCACCTTTTTATTTTTTATTTTAAGATAGGGTCTTGTTAAGTCACTAAGTTGCCCAGGCTGGGCTTCAATTTATGATCCTCTTGACTCAGCTTCCAGAGGGCTGGGATTATAGACATGAGCCACCATGCCCAGTGTAAAAATTTTACTTTTGCTACTCAATTTCCTTGAACTTTTTGGAACCACACACTTAGAATCCTTTCTTGTTTGCCTGTAGCAGAAATCAAGTTGAAAGGAATGGTATATTGTTAATTTTCCCTCCGATAGTCTAACTACATAAATGGGTATTTGGCTTGCTCAATTTAGCCTCAAAGTATATGGGGATGGGCTTGGGTGGTGGGGATGGTGAACAAGGGGATTTGTTAAAAGTGCAAGTCACATTCAAGATGAGTTCCCGAGCCATTTACAGTTTGGGTGATAAAGGGAAAAGACCTCTCTGAATAACTGGGAAAGAAGCCAAATTCAAAGTTTCAGTCACAGGAACTGACCCTATTAAAGACACATGAAGTGGAGGCAGCACATTCCGTAAAATAAATTTTAAGTTTGGGTGCTGGCAGCTTGAGTCCTCTCCCTTGGACCCAGCATAATAAAGTCCCCCTGTCACCCAGCCGTGTTCCATCCTCACAGGCAATGTGATCAGAGCTTGAGTAACACCAGGCTGACAGATTTCTCTCCGGACTCTGGTAGTTGTTGTTCTTAGCAGATGTGGTTGTTTTGGATGTCCTAGCATCGACCCATTCTTTGATGTGAGGCTCCAGAGTGAGCCCTGCATGTAAAGAGCCCGCTCGAGTAACCTCTTGTTGGCTCCTGCTTACCAATTCTCTCTTACGCCTCTTCTAGCCTGGTTTGTGGCATGCGAATTGCCTCCCTCTGAACTTCCTTATAGAACAATGGCTGTGATTTCTTACAGTTTTGAAGTGAAAGGAAGAGAAATTTCACTCTCCTTACAAGTTATACCCGGATTAAATTGCTAATCAAATTGGATCAAATTGCTAGGAATAAAACAAAGGCAGTAATTATGTCAGAGAGAGGAAGGGAAGGTTTGGCCAAGGGATGTTTAAAAGGAATATTCTAGGTCATCAGGGAGTTCGGCTTGTGACAGAAGTGGAGGCCCCACACTGGTGGCCAGGGTGCTCTTCCCATGTGGAGGGAGGAGTGACGGGCTGAACGGCCCTCTCGCTGGGCTGCCCTGAGCCTGGTCTCTGGCCTCCTCCTTCCTAGGGCCCCCGTAGCCATCGGAGTGGCTGCCATGTCCACCGCTGAGATGCTGGCTGCAGGCCTGAAGGGAAGGGGCTTCTCGGTGCTCCACACTTACCAGGACCACCTGTGGTGGGTACCATGTTTCTTCGCTTTCCGGAGCCAGGCTGGGTGGAGCACAGGCTCGAGATTCCAGCCTTAGGCATTTTGCCTGCCTCAGACTTTGCTTCCTTGCCAAATGTGGGGAAAATATTTATACATTTTTTCCGGTTCAGGCAGAAAATTAACAAGAGCTTTGATGATTTTCTAGGTGAGTTTTAGAATTCTAGACCTGGGAGCCCTTTGGGGTTGGCAGTCCTCCTTTTTACAGTTACACTAGCCAGCTGGGCCTTACCTGCCACGCACACTCAGGCGCCTTCTGGCCCTGTGATGGTAGCTCTGAGTCTAAATCGGAGCAGGACGGGTCCTCAGACGGACACCAGGATCACTGCCGACCTCCTTGCTGTTTGGGCCCCAGATCGCCTCTGCAGTGCGGAAATTACCGCATTCTGCCTGTACATCTGCTTTCCAGAGCCACCTTGCAGTTCACTTTCGGGTGGTTTTCTTGTCAGTGTCCCCAAACAGTGCGAGTGTAGCGAGCGGTCTTTTCGCCCAGTGTGTAGCCTTTTGGGGTGAGCTCATCCTTGCCTCAGTGACTGGCACCTGGCACCTGTCTCCAGTCCCTGTCAGGTGCGGTCACGGCCATGTCTTCAGTTGTTTTTGTCAGCAGCTGCCCCAATCCCTTACCCCTGCTTTAAAAGGTACTGCGTCCCCTACCCCGAGCAGAGACTTTGAGCTCACAATTACGTGCAGGAAGGATCCTAGAGCCTTCCTGCAGCTACCAGTTCAAACTTGGTTTGATTCACACAGTCCTGGCTAAGACAGCACTTTTTACCTCTGCTTGCTCTGCTGTGTGACACTACTGTGCTCCTAAGGTCTAGGAATAAACCGTGGTAATCCCAGCCCTGCAAATTAGCCTGCATTTGATCCAATGCAGGAGCTGGGGATGTATTTGCAATCTGTTTTTTTTAAGTACTGGGGATCGAACCAAGGGCCTTCTGCATCCCCAGCCCTCTTTATAATTTGTATCCTGAGACAGGGTCTTGCTAAGTCACTGAGTTGACCAGGCTGGACTTGAATTTGTGATCTTCCTGCCTCAGCCTCCCAGAATGTGCACCCCCACACCTGACTTTTCATTTGCCATCTTTATCTTGTTGAAGTCAAAGTGGTTTATTCTTTGCTTCATACAGAGGGAGTACTTGTAGGGGTTTATTTTTAATTGCTTTTTCTTTAATCCTTCTTTGTCTCAGGATATCTATTAACAATACAGTTATTCCCTTGGCTTGGAGAGGAAGCGAGAATTTCTCTCCCGTTTTCAGAGATGAGGGAACTGAGGCAGGGAATTGAATTGAAATGTAGTTGCACTGAGAGAGCGCAGGCTGTCACTCCTGCCTTGGCTCTTGTTGGCTCTGAGCTCCAGCTGCCCTCCGTGGTGGGAACAAGCTGTGGCCGCCCGGTGTGTGATGGGACATTTTCCAGGCAATCCGGAGACAAGTCCTCCCCACCGTCCATTGCTCCGCCACTGCCGGATGCCACAGACGTCAGTGAGGAGAAGGTGCAGGGAGACATGAGGGGCCTGGCGCTGCGGGGAGAGGAGGGGAACGGGGAGGCCTGTCGGGCGCATGGGGAGAGTTCCCTCCCGGAAGCCCCAGAGGACGGCAGTGGCAGCAGAGGGGACCCGAGCCAAGACCTGGCAGAAGGCAAATCGCTTCCAGGTATGGCTGAGTCGGAGGCCCATCCCCTCCGCTCAGCATCTCTGCACCTTGGGCCACCAGGCACTGCAGGTCTGAGGGAGTGGGCGGGTCCTCATTTCCGGTGAATAAGTCCGGTCTCACCAGCACTGGTCTCCCTGGGACTGTTTCCAGCCACCGCCCCGTGCCTTCTTGGTCTGTCTTCTCAGGGTGCTGGGGGTACTTTGTGGCTTGACCCCCTTCTCTGGGGTCCCCTTAAAGGCTCAGGGTTCAGGCATCTGGGAGCTGAGGCTTCTAGGCGTGTGTTCTGTGCAGAGCCAGCCAAGCGGAGCGGGATGGAGCTGCAGGAGGCAGCCCGTGCCCTGCAGCAGGGCGGCTTCCGGTCTGTTCCCGCAGAGCAAATGGACGGCCTGTTACGGCAGTGCTTCCTGCATGCGCTGAAGTGCCGGGTCAGAAAGGCCGACCTCCCGTTACTCACCAGCACGCTCCTGGGCAGCCACATGTTCTCCTGCTGGTATGGAAGGCCCTTCTGGGCTGGAGGCCGGCCCTGGGTCTCAGGCGTGGTCCTGCTGGGGGAGCAGGACGGGACAGTGGGGGCTGACCGAGGGCCGTGCTGTGGGACAGTGGAGGGGAGGTTGGTCTGCAAGTGAGCTCGGGTCTGGGTGTTAGCAGCCTCCGTGTGAGCCCTGCGAAGGTTCTGAGGAAAGGTCGGTACCCCCAGGCTCTCCAGAGGCTCTCTGTGGGCTGTCGCTCGTGAATCAGGCAGCTGTAGCTTTCCCTGCCCCGCACAGGCACCTCTGTCAGGAGGCTTCTTCTCCTGTTCCGCCCCTCACACCTGTGAAGTGTAGGAGGGACAGATTGGGTTGTATCGGGAGGAAGGGACAGGCCCTCAGCCACAGGAACGTGAGCCACCAGGAGAGGCAGGGCTACGGGTCAGCGGAGCCTCCGCCGGAGCACAGAGCCGGGGCAGAGGGAGCTCGGCCAAGGCAGCTCGCAGCTGGGTGCTGCGTGCTGGGTGCTGGGTTTCCAGTGCTCAGGAGGACATGGCCGTGCTCACAGTCCACACACTTCTCACGCATTCGGGTCAGGAGGCTTGCTATTGATTTTGCCCCTAGATTGAGTTTCTTGTTTTCTGAGACTGGCTCTGTTTCTCTAGCGGTAATTTTAACCTGATCTCTTCTCGTTTGCCTGTGGGCTTCACTAAGGCATCTGTGAGGGAGACACTGGAGCAGCGGGTGGTGGAGTCCTGGTCATTTGCCCTGACCTTGCTGGCCTGCAGGTGACGGGAAGGGGCCTAGGGTATCTCTAGGATGGATGTGAGCACGGAGTGGGTTCGAGAGGGCTCCCTGAGAGTCCTGCGCCTGGGTGCATGAACAGAGGTGCAGATTCTGGGAGGAGTTGTCTGGGATGGCGACTTTCATCAAGAACCTCGACTCGACTCGAACCTAATTGCTGCAGGCAGGCTCAGCAGACTTTTCTGTAAAGAGCCAAAGAGTACATGTTTGAGGTTTTGCAGGCCAGAGGATATGTGACAGCTATGCACGTCTGCCATTGTTACAGCTGCTCACACTACTCGCAGGCCAGGGTGACCACAGACGACAGCGGGGCGCGGTGGGCAACCCATGCCCTGGGGTGGCTGTCCACAGTGTAAGCTGCTGTGGGAGAGTGGGACTTCTAAGGCCGCAGAAGGTTTTCTGGTTTAAGAGAAACCTAAACAGTATCTAACGCAGTAGCCGACAGCCACATGGGACCAATCAAGTTTAAATTAACTAAACGTACATATGACTCTTGGGCACAGTAGGCACACTGGAGCGCCCAGTAGCCACACGGTGGCCGGCAGTGCCACACCGGATGGCACAGACAGAGCTGTTCCGTCTTCTCGGAGAGATCGTAGGACACCACTGGCTCAGTGTGTCCCACAGCCTGCATGCCTCTCGGCAGAGTGGACTTGGAGGAGGAGAACTGAGGACAAGCTTCTCCTCCAGGCAGGCAGGTCCCACTGCTTTGTTGGCTTAACTTGACTTTTCTGTCTGCCGTCAGCCCTGAAGGACAACAGCTGGACATCAAGAAGTCAAGCTATAAAAAGGTGAGCCGGTGTCATCTCTGCTTCTGCACCTGGAGGGCTGTGTGCAGTGGGCAGACACTGGGGACGCCTGTCTGCAGGCGCAGGCTGGGGCACAGTTTTATGATTCTGAGTATGAGGGGATGGAGAAATGCCCTGGGCAGAGGCACCCCGCTTTCCCACTTGACCCCTGTATGCCGGATTAGTGTTTTGGCGGGGTCACCAGTTCATCTCTGCAGCTCCCTGCTCCCCACCCTGAGGGTGAGGCCTGCCAGGGACATCTCCCAGCGTCTGCACCAGCCTGCCAGCCTGGTGCTTCTAGAGGCTGTGTGCACGTGGAGTCAGAGGCCCCTGCCCGGCCCCTCCCCAGCTCTCCAAGTTCCTTCAGCACATGCAGCAGGAGGAGATCGTGCAGGTGAAGGAGCTGAGCAGAGGCGTGGAGAGCGTTGTGGCTGTGGACTGGAAGCACCCGAGGTGAGCGCAGGGCCCAGTCTCTGGAGCACAGCCTGGGGACCTGGGACGCTGGGTTGAGCTGCGTTCTTCCTTCCCCCTGCTGGGTTTTAGCATCACGTCCTTCGTCATCCCCGAGCCCTCCCCGGCCTCCCAGACTGTGCAGGAGGGTGGCAGAGAACAGCCCTACCGCGCTCCAGATGTAAAAGCCCTCTACTGTGTCCCCGCCAGCATGACTCTGCTCTTCCGGGAGTCTGGGCACAGGTGAGCCTTGGCATGCAGCCCTCCGCCCTGCGGTGTTCTGAGCCCAGCCAGAGTCCTGCTGTGCCCCGCCTCCCTTCCCTTCCCCTCAGATCCACCTTGAGCCTCCTTCTCAGTCCTGCCCACCTCAGTCAGCAAAGGGGAAGAGAAAGGTCAAGAGCCAAGGGGACAGCACTGCTGAGCAGGGAGGCACCTGGGTGTTTGCAGTCTGTCCCTTGGCACAGCTGGAACCCACCCGGCGCCTCTCATCTCCTAGGAAAGGGAGCGCTCTCGAGGCCAGCGAGGTCCGAGCAACCGTCATTGACTATGTCAAGAAGAATGACCTGGTGGATGCGGACAACAAGAAGTGAGTGCGAGAGAGACCCGGTCTGTCTCGTCAGGTCTCCGTCCTCAGCAGGACACATGCATTTGGGGCGGTGGTCTGGGGATGAGAATGGACAGTCTTGGCCTTCGAGCTGAGAGCTGCGGACTCCAGTTACTGGCGGGGCATTCAGAGCCCTTGGTGCTGCCAGCTGCCTGTGCACTGAGCTCACAGCACCTTGCACATAGCCACCACTGCTCTTCTCCGCAGGTGTGGTTGGGTGGGATTTTCTTACGGAGGGACATAGGTGCTACCAGAGAGGCCCCCTTTAACCTGAAAAGACAGTTTCATGGCGAGCGTGGTGGTGCATGCCAGTAACCCCAGCACTCTGGAGTTGCAAGTTCAGCTGAACTATATAGTGAGACCCTGTCTCAAAAAAGCAACACAGAAGACAATCTCATGACCAGAACGTTGAGCCCCACCAGGCTACTTTAATGCACTCATTTGTTTTAACATTTAAATAGATTTATTTTTTGGAGCCCAGCAGGGCATTGTATGAGTGCTTCTCCGCTGAGCTACACGACAGCCCTGTTATTCTTTTAACTGTACAGATATATGGGTACTGGGCGGTTCTTCAGTGCCTGTGTACTGTATGCCGAGCAGATGGGGGAGTCACCATTTACATCCCCGCGCCTTCCTCACTAACCCGCTAAGGAATTAAGCCCAGAAAGCTGTGTGCACCGCGTGGTTTGTGGCGGAGCTGAGCCCCAAATGCTGGACTTCAGATGAGTCCGGTCCCACACACCCTGCACCTCCTGCCTAGGACAGTGTGTGCCCTCCCATGGGGACCTGCCTGACAGACACTGGCCTCCTGGCTGAGTCCGACCCTGCATGACTGTGAAGGACACCGAAGACAGCCCCTCGTGGGCTGAGGCTCCAGACTCAGATTTCTATGTTGCTGCTTCTTTCCCTTCAGTCTGGTGAAATTGGATCCTGTCCTGTGTGACTGCATCCTAGAGAAAAACGAACAGCACACAGTCCTGAAGCTTCCGTGGGACAATCTCCTGAGCAGGTAATGGGAACTTTGCCCCCCAATATCTGTCAGCTTCAACTTGCAAATCGTCACTGTCATAGTCTGACTTTCTTCCCATAATTTAGACCATGTCAGTTCACAAATATATGGCTTGAGTAACTCTGAGGTAAAGTTCTTTGGGACAGGACTGGAGAGGAAGAAAGAAAAGGAACATTAATAAAAAATAAGAACTTCAATAAGAGAAGCAAAAAGGGCTAGGGAGAATTGTCTTAATGTCATCAAAGGAGAGATGCTTAATGCTGCTTTTCCACAGAACCGGAACTGAAAGTAATTCATGCCACAGGTCAGCAGACCACAGCGCATGGGCCAGATCTGGCCCGCCACCTGTTTTCAGTTTAAAAAAGTTTTACTGGAGCACATCCATTCCCATTTACGTGTCGTTGTGAATGCTTTGTCCCAGACGGCAGGATTGAGTAGCTGTTACTGTCTGCACACCTGTGAGACCTAAAACGTTTGCCACCTGGCCCTTCATAGAAAGTTCGTCAATCCTTAAGCCTAGGGCAGGTACCTGGAGAAAACCGGCCAGGTAACAGGTAGGAGTTCCTTGCTGTAAAGGCGCCTGTGAAGGGTGTACTACTGAAACAGGCCACCGTGTGAAGCAGCCCTGGAGGCAAGGAGCCAGAGAGCGGGCGCTCTTGAGATGGACGGAGCTCCCGCAGTGGCCTGGGTGAAGTCTGAGAAGTCCAGGGCCAGTGACCGTTTCCGGGGGCCGAGTCCCCGAGGTTAAGAATTGCAGCCTCGCTGCACCCCGGGAGCTTTCAGGGTCCCCCTCCTTCAGACACTGGTGCCCGGTGGATCTGGCGAGTGCGAGCAGCTGGCCTCCGCCCAGTGCTGCTGCAGCAGGGTGCTTTGTGGACCTCACCGTGTGCCACTCCCATCTTGCCTTCCAGATGTCTCGAAAAACTGCAGCCTGCCTATCAAGTGACCTTTCCCGGACAGGAGCCCCTTGTGAAGAAAGGGAAAATCTGTCCTATCGACATCAGCCTAGCACAGAGGACTTACAATAAAAAGGTAATTGAAAAAGATGCCGTGTTCATGTATGGTGATCTAAGGACCCTACCTAGTTCTGGTCTCTGTAATCCATTGGGAGGATTTTAGACTTTCAGACGCTGCTGGCTGTTCATGAAACATGCCTGTGTACCTAGCTGGGCCCCTCCTCATCCTAGACGGTGACGCTTGGAAACTTGCTGAAGCCGTTTGTAAAAGGAAAGATTTTATTTTTTTCTTACAATATTACAGGCTTCAGCGACCCCTTGGGCCTTGCTCAGTGAGAATAATGTTAAAAAATTGCTGAAGGAAACAAGTGTTTAGCTTGGCAACACAAAGTTGTAGGGAACAAATTACATCTGACCTCAAAAATGTGGAAAGCTGACTTCTACCAGAGGGGTTCTTTATTCTGTACGCCTGGGGAAGACAGACGGGGAACTGGTAGAACCCTATGGCTCAAAGTAGAGAACTTACTAGTAGTGTGTAGTTGTGAGTGTGGGCTTTGGAATCAGACCTGGGTTCAAATGCGGCCTTACACCTCGATGGGGTGTAGGAGAACCGAGGTTGGCCGTGAGATGGTAATTGTTAAAGCTGACGGTGGGGTCCATGGGAGTTCCTTTACTGTTCTGCTTTTATTTATGTTTTATATTCTCCATGATTAAAAAAAATTACGATTTGTGTGATAGTGTCTCAGTAAATATCTAACACATATGAGATAGGGACAGAACCATTTTAGAAGCTGAAATAAGCTGTTTGGACAAAGGAGACATAGGGATGGTGAACCATCAGAAAGCCTGGAGAGGGGAGGCTGGGGAGGCCCTGGAGGCCCCTGCAAGGGAGGGTGAGTGCCTGGTACCCACTGTCGCTCTGTTGTCCCCGCCACCCCCCAGGTAACAGTGGTCAGAAACTTGGAGGCCTATGGTCTAGACCCGAGCTCAGTGGCCTCCGCCCTCCAGCAGCGGTGCCACGCCAGCACCACGGTCACCCCGGTGCCCGGAGCCAAGGACGGGCTGCAGGTGCAGATCCAGGGGAACCAGATCCACCACCTGGGCCGGCTGCTGCTTGGTGAGCATTTGTGCACACACACCCCGAGCGCAGACTCCTGAGCCTGACCTCACATGGTTGCCACAGCGCACGTGTCCATCCAGACACCCTGACCCGCAGGCTGCAGAATCTGTGCTTTGAGTTCTGCATTCCAATCCTCTGCTAGGCCAACATGTGCCGGGTGACACCCTTGTCCCCTAGTCAGCCCCAGGGCCCCGAGAGTAAACTCGGCATTGTCCCTGCTGTGACGCACCGCGGTTAGGTGAATCACCCGCGTGACAGTGTGTTTCTCAGGACACGGCCCATCATAAAGCAGGACTGTGTGTGGGGTGCGCACGCGCACAAATGCACGCAGTTTTCAGCAGCCAGCGAGAGATGGAGTCAGTGTTTGAGCCAGACCCTGAAGCGCTTCTCTATTACTTTTCTCCCTGGGCCTGTTTTATAAAGCGTTTGTCGGGCACCCAGAGGCATGGGCACTTCTCGGCTGAGCTTTTGGCAGGTGTCACCACATCAGGATAAGCTGCAGAGCTGTTGCTTATTCTGCAGACGAGGGAACCCAGAAAGGTTCAGTGCTTTGCCCTGAGCTCACTAGACTGTTTTTTGTTTGTTTTTTTGCAGTATTGGGGCTTGAACCCAGAATCTTCACACTGAGCTCTATCCCCAGCCCTTTTTGTTTTTTCTATTCTGGGGACAGTCTCGATAAGTTACTAGGTTGCCCTGGCTGGCTGAGAACTCACAGTCCTGCCTCAACCTCCCAGAGGCTGGCATTACAGGCGTGCACCATCCTAACTGGCCCACCCAACCCTTGAGAGCTGCACGGGGTCCCTTCCTTCCTTCTGCTCACTCTGGTGGCCCAGCCTCCATCCCACACTCCACAGCTCAGCCTGAGTCAGCTTCCATCCGGGGAGAAACTCTGGCCTTGCCCATGTCCTAAGAATAAACTCCTGAGCTCCGTCGGCACAGAGGACCCTCCCACCTGGGCCGAGTCTCTCCCGTCCTGGCCTCAGCCCTGCTGCTCTTCCATTCCCCTCCTGCCATTCCCTCACCTGCTTTCTCTCAGGCAGAAAGCACCCTGTGCCTCACTTGCCCTCCCACAGCTGAGTCTGCTGCCGCCAGCCACTGGCCCAGGTCAGCGGTCACACCCCATGTCCCTGAGAGCGCATTTGAAAACTGGCTGATGTAGCACTTGCAATGGTGTTTACATTCTGCTTAGTGTCTGCAGCTTGGCTTATTTCTTCTCATACTGAGACCCCCACTAGATGCAGAACCTGAGGCAGAGACCTGCCTTCCTCATGCTTGTCCTAGCCTCGGGACCTAGCACATAATAAATGCTCAGTAAAGTTACAGCCTATGGCAGCGCCTAGCAGTTGAGCCCTTTATGTGAAGGGGCCCTGTGAGGTGCTGCGAAGAGTCACAGTTCAGCACAGACACAGAAACACACATACGCACTCTCTCTCTCTCTCTACTCCTGTCCCAGTCCCCTGCGAGGCAGCTAGTTAGCCTTAGGGGTGGTCAGTGCCCATTGTGTTGGAGCCATAGGGACAGCACTTTGGTGGCAGGGAGGACCAGGGAGGGTCTGGAGGGTCTGAAGGTTAACAGGGCCGGGCCATGGGAGAGGGAGGGCAGGCGGAGGGAGCACTGAGCAGCACCTGCCTTCTGGATTGCAGAGGAGTTTGGGCTCCCGCGGAAGCACATCCAAGGCCTGGAGAAGGCTCCCAGGCCCGGCAAGAAGTGAGGACGGCCGTCTCAGCGAGGATCCGGTGGGAGTCCAGGCTCTGGGCTGGTAATTTATATGAGCATTTTCAGCTTTTGCAAAGAAAAAAATATAATTCTTTACCAGAAATTTTTATTGCAATCTAAATCTGATTCTTCTTCCCTCCACTTAACAAAAACACTGTACTAACTTTTAAAGTCAGCAGTGTTTCAAGTTGACAGGAGAGGCCGCGCCCACTCAGTCCCTGCCGTCTTCCCCATGGTGCAGCCCAGCCCGTGTCCTGGCGGTGGCCCTTGCTGGTTTACAGCCCCTTCCCAGGTACTATGTGGCCTTCTGCTGTCCGGTTACCCCAGCCCAAAACAGTCCCTGCACCTGGGTCACGAAGACGACAGAACCCAGCGGTTCTGTGTCACCAGTCGAGGCAGCAGAGGACCAGACTCAGCAGAACCTGGGCCAGAGTGTTGTGAGCATCAGACGAGTGCCGGGGTGACCGAGATTGTTCCCTGGCTTTAGTCCTCACTCTGACAGGTGACTGGGCTGCGCTTCTGAGCTGCTGACCGTGTCGCCGTGAGTCCTGGCCCACAGATGCCTGCTTCGGCCCTGACTTCTAACCTGATGCTCATGGCGGGTCTTCACCTGGTCTGCAGAGGGCTACAAGCTAATGCCCCGATGTGCTGCCGAGGACCCACGCTCACTTTCCTAAGGAGGAACCGCACGACCTTCAGGCTCCCAAGGGATTGCTGAGTGCCAGGTGTTTGAAGCATCTCTCCTGTCCCTTCCAGCTCACGGGCGTCACTTCCGTGACTGCCGCTCTCGGGGCAGTAACAGCTGCCCGCATCCCTTCAGGTCCTTGGAATTTTACCAGGAAACAATTACGCATCCTCATGCTCCCTTTTTTCCTTTCTCACATTACTTAAAAGAAAAAAACTGACATAAAGGCTTGAAAATATCCACAGATTGCCCATCTGGAGCTTGGAAAGGGAGAAAGGGAATGAGCGTTAAGACGTGTGGTGCCTCCTGCCTTTTGCCCTCACCCCAGAACTGGCCTTTTCGCTGGTAAGCAAGCTGTCACTCTCCCTACCGCAGGCGCTCATGGGACCAGGGCGTGGCTTCTAGAAACTGACCTCAAACAGGGCCCTGTTGCAGCAAAGCCTTTGGATGATGGCTGGAGTCTGATGGAGGGGCCACGTGTCCAGCGACGACAAAAGCCCGTCTTTCACATGCCTACACATCGTGACCAGTTTCACACAGTCGTGGAAGGCCTGGAGTCTTGGAGAGGTTGCATCTTATCTGCTAATCCTGCTAGGGAGCCCAGGAAGTGGCGGGCCGAGGCCCCGGAAGGGGACATCTCTTAGCTGTGGTTCAGCTGTTCTCTGCCGTTAACACCTGTGCTTTGGGTGGTGGTTCCAGTCGTGGTGACACACTTGGCCCGAGTCCTTCTTCCGTGTGACTAGCGAGGGGCTGTGTGAGAGGGCGGTGGACGGCTAGGCTGTGCAATGGGTTCATTTTTCTACGTACTGAGCCAGATAATCTACCTTGAGATCAACGTCTGTCCAGCTTGCTAAACTCCTGCTGTAACGAGATGCGTCCCAGTGTACTACAGAGACTGCTTCACTTCCACACTTCGGCACGATCACTGCAAGACGGCATCCTCTGGGAAGTCAGGGCGCTGCCTGTGGCAGATGTGCACAGTGACTGGCTGCTCTCCAGGGTGCCCGGTGGAGGACAAGGTGCTCTCCTCGGGGAGGGCGGGCCTGCAGAGCCTGATGTGTGAGCACGGAAGGCAGCCACGTGGCCATGCCAGCGTGTGCGGACGTGCTCCTTGGCTGCAGTCCTGGTCACCTAAGTCACCCTCCTCCAGATGCACTGGCCTTACGTTTTCAAGGCCACATTCTTCTCCCTGTCTTGTTTTTGCAATAATTCCAGGAAAAGACGTGTTGCTTACCTCAGTTGCCTGGTGTCTAACCGTCCTCTCTGGCTCAGCACCTGCTCTTGTCAGGGCCCTCTTCGCTCTCCAGCTCTGGGGTCACAAGGCAGCACCCTCTGGCCCACACACTTGACAACTTTCCCACGAGCCTTTGGACAGTAGCTTCCATTCCTCCGTTCACTGGCAAAAGAAAACCTGGCCCTGAAGAAGGGTGTGACCGTCCCAATGCCCCACACACCCCAGCTCCGGTCTTCATAAGATGGTAAAGTTCAAGGAAGACACTTCCATTGTGAATAATTTTTACAAGCTTTTATTTTTTTTTTTTAACTCATAAGAAAGACGCCGAGAAGGAAAATAGTTTTAAAACCGACACACTGAGCAACACAACCATGGAAGGCACTACCAGCACGACCCCACCTCCAGGAGGGAGGGCGCTCTACACACGTTCGGATGCGCAGGCCCTGGGGTTAAGGGTGCTCTCAAGTCGGAATTCCCCATAATTTTCTTCTTTTACAACCATCAACTCTGTATATATAGCTATATGCATCTATGTATATATGTATGTTGCTTGTTTTCCTTCTCAAAAATAAAACAGCCGTCCCATCGAGGGAGGCTCGCAGCAGCATTCGCGGAGATGACAGCAGGAGCCATGCCTTCTCCACGTCGGACACATGCAGGACGCTGCCTTCACTACGGGCAGGAGAGAGAAGGCTGAGCATGAGATGGGATCCAGGGCCTGGCGGCCCGAGAAATCTGAGTCGCTAGCTCTGGTGGTGGCTGTAGCCCTGAAGACGCTTTGTGGGATGAGGGTCGCCACTCCTGTGGGGTCAGGGAGAATATGAGGCTACATGGAAGAGCGTGGGCTCGAGCCAACCCTCAAGGGACTTGGGAAGGCAGAGAGCACCAAAGAAACGGTCAGTCAGGGGCCGGGTTGGCGTGACAAGCCGCACCTGCAGTCCTGGCTACTTGCTGCAACTGTGTGGTTCACTGAAGTGGGGACACAAGAACCAGCACCAGCATTCAGCGTCGGAGCCCATCCTCCCTGTCAGTGGTGTGACCCCACGAGGCCCAGGAACCCGGATGGGAAAGGTGCACGGCCCTCAGCTATGTGGAGTGCAGGCTCCCCCGGCCCTGTCTCTCACACGGCACTGTCCACTGCCCGGCAGGAGCAAGCCAGCAGCGACATGCCCTGCCCGTCTCTCTCTGAAAACAAAGGCACTGAGGTCAGCGGGGAGGCCAGGCCCACGGCTCACGGAGGACAGACAGGACTCCTGTGCGATCAAGGCCATTCCTTGGGCAGCACCTGGAGATGCCACAGTCCCAGGGGGCAGAGGGAAGCAGTGCTGGAGGCCAAAAGGGAAACCAAGGCAGCCCAGGCCCTGCTCTGCTCACTAGGGGCTGGAGACAGCTTGCATGTTTCTCTGCCGCACTTTTTGCTTCCGCTTACTGTCTGGTTTTCCGACTCGGCGGGAGACTTTTGAAACGGTGAATGGCTGGTGCCCCTTGGCAGAAACACTGGAGGATGATGATAATACCAACTTCATGTCTGTAACTTCAAATAGCTGTTCCAGCACTCTGGGAGGCCCAGACAAAGAGGATCTCAAGTTTCTAGCCAGGGCTGGGAGCTTAGTTAACTTAGTGAGACACTGTCATCTCAAAACAAAACAACAGAAACAAAGGGCTAGGGGTACAGCTTAGGTGAAGGCCCGGGATTTGATCCCAGAACTGCAAAAAGCAAACAAACAAAACCAAATAGCAGCTGACAAACACACATAGGGGCATGGCTCTGGGTTTCCACATGCTCGGTCTAGATGGTCAGGCCAGGGAGGCCGCAGCTTCCTGGGAGACCTCTGAGCCACCCCAGCTGGGTGCCCTGAACATCGGCTCAGGAACTGACTTATTTTCCTTGGGACAGTGGGACAATCTTCTGAGTATTTCCCTGCCTCAGGGCCTGAGCTCAGACCAGCTGCAGCGTAAATAAATAAAGGTATTGCAAGTGGAAAATGAAAGAGAAAGTGAATAAGGATCAAAGTCAGAGAAAGAACACAGAGCTCTATAAAACCTTTCTTCTTTCCTTTCTCTGGCTGGTGCAACAGGTTCCCGTCTGGTGAGCAGCCATTTATTTTGGGAAAGGCTGCAGACGGAGAAGACAACACCATTCGCACCGCACAAGTTCTGATCCATCCTGGGCAGAGTCCGTGGAGGGGTACAGCGTGGGCGGTGGGCAGGAATGGAGCCCGCTCGAACCCTCGTCCGCAGAAGGGGCTTTGTGTCACATCTGGAGTTGCTGGGCAGGCACAAGTGCACTCACCAGAGATGTCCTGAGAAAAGTGTCTGTTCCCAAATAATAATAATAAAAATAAATCCAAGGGCACTGGGGACAGAGGAAGTGGGACTGGTTACCCAGGTTTGCCCTGGGATTCTCGTAAGGCCTCCTCCAGTTTCTGTCGGAACTTGTTGTACTTCCTCTGCACCTGTTGGATTTTGTCCTGCTCTTCTTTTTCCAGGATGGTTAGGAAGTTCTGGAGCTCGGGGATGGAGAAGGCATCCCACTGGAGGGGAGAGCGGGGTCGGGGGAGACAGGGAGGGGACAGGTTAGAAGCTGACGGACCTGAGGCCTCGCGGCCGCCTGCTTCACAAACTGCATCAGGCACTCTCGAGCTTGGCTGCTTTGCGTCAGGCGCAACGTTGGAAGCTTGGGCTGTACACCTCACACCAGCAGTGAAAGTGCAGGTCCTGGCACCTGGTGAGCACGAGTTTCCAGCCCAGAGCCGTATTATGTTGAGAATTAATAGCAGCGGTGATCTTGGCAACGACGCTGGAACCACCCTAGCCTCCCAACAGGTAGAGCCTCCAGAGGCTGGTGGAGGACATCGGGGCTGGGGTCACCAGCTGCATGGTGCCCTGGTTGCCCCATCCCACCACCTGGACCCACCTGCTCCTCCACCTGAGGTCAGGGCACCAACCTCAGTGTGGGCAGAGCGGATGGGGCGGCACTCCCTGGAAAGGCCAGGTGGACCAGCCAGGGGACCTGAGCCCTCAGAGCAGACCAAGTCCGACTGCTCTCCTGCTGTCCCGGGCATGGAGACCCCTGGGCTCTCTGAGCACAGAGGGGAACCGTGACTTGGCAGGCTCAGTCCCCACTTGGATAAGAGGATCCTGGAGTCCAGAGGGAAGGTGGCATAATCTCGGGCAGGAGCACATGCACTTGACCTGGGGCCCTCTCCCCAGGACCAGCAGTCTCCCCACAAACTCTTCTATCCACTCACAGCTGAAGCAGACGGCCCTGGAGCTGCCCTGCTTGAGGTGAGGACAGAGCCCACCTGCCCAGATGCTGCACATTCCCAGACTCCCCAAAGCCGCTCCTCACCTCAGGCATCCACTGAACAGTGTGACAGACACTGAGCCCCACCCTCACGGCTCCCCGGAGACCCCACTCCCAGCATCCCAGGCTGTGGGGCCCCACTTATGCCACAGCCTGGACACCGCTCCCCCGCCAGGAGGAAGTCAGTATGTTAGGAACAGAAGAGGGATGAAGGGCTCAAAACTACCTCACTCAGGGAAGCCCAGAGGTGGAGCCTGCCGGGCCTCACAGCGTCCTGCAGCAAAACGCCTGGGCCCAAACCCAGGGCGCTTCTTGGCCCTCTCCACCCCGAGCTTTCAGAAACAAAGCCGGAAAATCCCTTTCTTTCCACAGGCTTTGCCAGACACAGGCCCTGACTTGCTCGCCCCAGCGGGCTGACAGTCCTGACTTAAACCTTGTTCTCCCAGAAGTCATCTACTCTGTGCTGTGCCCTTGCTGGGCAACCAGGACAGCACCCACCTTCTCCCGCCCGGTGTGCCAAGGGCCAGACTCACCTCCACCTCTCCTGTCTCGTTCTCCTTGAGCACGAAGCTGAGGACATCCGTGTCAGGCCCTGCGAGCAGGCGTAGGTAGAGTGGGCAGTCAGCGACAGAGAGCTTCTGGAAGAGCACTGCAAACGAGAGAGGGGCTGAGCAGGCCAGGCTGGCGGGACAGCGTCCGTGTGCCTAGTGAAAGGCCCCTGACAAGAAAAGGTAAGAACCGCCTCGGTGGAGCATTTGCCTACCACGAGGAGGCCCTGAGTGCATCCCCAGCACCACTGAAAAAAGACAGGAAAGTGACCTTGATCTTGGGTGTCTGCTCAGTTTAACTTGCTTCCATTCACATCAACTCCCAGAAGACTAGGAGTGGGGGGCAGTTTCCCTCTCGGTACACAGGCTGGGCACGGAGCCCTGGGCGCGGTTTTCCTGCACGCGGAGTTAGGAGCTGCTGAGCTCAGTGCAGGTCCGTGCATGGCCCTACCACAGACCAGAGGGCCACGCGGATGGCTGGACCCCAGCACACAGATGCCACTGCTCCCAGGCAGGGCGGCAGGGGATTTAGAGGTGGGCACAGACAGAGTGGGGAGAGGGGTTTCTGGTCCGGAGGTCTCTCATACCTTGTCCGTCCTTGTGTATCCGCTTAAACAGTGCAAACTTCTGCGGATTGTCCACAACCATGAACTTCTTGAGCAGCCCCTGGATGACCTCACTGACTGTGGTGGTGCTGCTGATGTGCAGCTGCTTGATGGCATCGAGTGGCAGGTAGAAGGACGTCCGCTTGTCCGTGGTGGCCGCCAGGTTCACTTCTTTGATGGCGTCGTAGATGGACTGGGGCCGGATCCCCGCAGGCACTGTCACTGGCCGCCGAAGCTTCAAATGCACTTTGATGAAACCTGTGTAGGTGCCATCTTCACTCTGTGAGGGAAGAGGCCCCAGGATCAGGGAGTCAGGGGCCTATGCTAACAGAGGCAGCCCAAGAAAGCCCCACCCATCTCCCGAGATCCTTCCTGTCTCTACCGCCCCTGGGAGGCACATGCAGGGGGCAGAAGCCTTCCTCCCCAAGGCCAGAGAAGGCCCACGCATCCACCGAGGACTCTGGGGCGCTGTTTTCCCTCCCCAGAGGCTCAGGCCTCCGGACACCAGCAAGCAGTTGCCCTTTCCCTTTGGCTGAGTCGCTACTGTGAGAGGCAGGGATGTGGTGGCCTCTCTGGCTCATGTCTCTGAATATGAGATGGTCCTCAGACGCCCAGGCCGCGGGATTTCCTCACATCTCCAAACAAAACTTAAGACGAACACTTCAGCCCAACTGCAGCAGCCCCAAAGAGTCAGTTGCTTCCAGCCACCAGCAGGGGGGCAAGGTTCTCCCTTCTTCCCTCCCGGCTGAGGCTCGTCTGGACCCAGAGCAGTCACTTCCCTCACCTGGGCACTGCACAGTCTGAGGGGAAGGAAGGGGGGCTGCAGACTGCCCTGGTCAAGGGCTTCCTGGGGACCATGAAATTCCACTCCTTGGCCATTCTGTCACTTGCTTCCCACAACATCTCTGACGCAAGGGCATGAATTCAACACTGAGATGCAGAGAGGTTACAAAAGTTTCCCAAGTCGCAAGCAAAAGAAGGAAGCAGATGCAGGAGAGATCAGCTCTGGACCCTGTTCTAAAGCCCGTTCTGGTTCCCCAGAGGCCACAGACTGTCCAGGCTCCGGGCCTTCCAACCCCTAGAGGCCCCTACAGGCTGCCAGAAAGGGTTGGAGGCTCCAGGGAGCAGCGCCCGCAGACCAGAGAGGGCAGCGGCCAGGCGCCCTGCTCACCAGCTTCATGCTCAGGCAGTTCTTCTCGCGGCTGTTGTAGCTGTCGATCTTCTGCCTGATCTCCTGCAGCGTGGGCGGCCGCCGCGGCTCCTCCACTGGCTTGCAGACATCCTGGAGCGACACACAGAGCCGGGTGCTGTGCGGTGGTCCTCAGGACCGAGGGGCGCGCACCTCCCAGAGGGCCCGCGTGGCGACATGAACTGTGCGAGCCAGCCCCAGGGGAGCAACTCCGACCCCGGCCTCAGTCCCCTCGTCTGGGAAGTGGAACGTATGATACTCAGCCCTCGTGCCGGCTGCAAGGCCAACGTGCCCACGTGGCCATGGACTCAGTGAGCGAGCAGAGCCACGCCGCCAGAGGACTGCGGTGGAGAAGGTGCCTGTGGGGGGTGAGCCCCAGCACCTCCTCTCACAGACCCGACCCGCACTCCGCTGGGAACCCCACTCTAAGGGACCTGCCCGCTGCTGCAGCCCTGTGCACAGCTAACCAGCGACTCCGCCACCCGCTCTGTGCCCAACGATTTGCCCATCTCTCACGTCCCCCAAAGGGCAGGGGAATGGGGCGGAGGCCAGTGTCCCTCACCTGCAGAGGGCGTGCAGGGGAGGCTCTGGGACCTGGGGGAGCAACTCTGCCCCTCAGTCTGGTCCTCTCAGGTTCCCGCTGTCCGTGTTGCTGCTCACAGCCACCATCTGCCTCACCCTGGAAATCTAGCAGCCCTGCCGTCACATCTGGGTTGGGCTGGGAGTTCACGAGGGCACTGGCATCATACTGCCACCCAGTGGGGCACGGCGGGCGCTGGCCACAGGGCCTGCCCACCCCCTGATCCCCGGAGGCGCGTCACAGGCAGTTTGCTGTCACTACCCCTGTTGTTTCCAACCCGTGGAGCAGATCAAGATGAAACGTCAGGCCCTGGCCGCCCAGCCCCGAGCACACGGAGCAACAGCCTCCTCTTTCTGTCACAGCATCCTGCCCCACCCATCCACTCCCACTATGCTGCTTCTCAGGGTCCTGAAGGTCACAGCCCTGTGCCAGGCCCTGTCTCAAGCCTTCTCTTATCTGCTACCTCTATTGTTCCTATTTTACAGATAACAGATGCTCAGCCTGGTAGCGGTGTACACTTGTAATCAATCCCAACTTCTCTGGAGGCTGAGGCAGGAGGGTCATAGGGGAGAGGCCAGCCAGGGCAGTTTAGAGAGACCCTGTCTCAAAAATAGAAATAAAATAATAAAATAAAAAGGGCCAGGGGTAACAGCTCAGTGCAAAGGCTCTGGGCTCAATCCCCAGTACCAAAATCTAAAAGCAAGACACAAACCCAAGGCTCAGAGAGTTTGGGAGTTGTGCCTATGCCACACTGCTAGTGAGTGGCCGGGCAGGGGTGGCCCCACATCCTCCTAGGCCAGACCCAGTTCTTCTCCATTCACTGTGCAGCCGCCTCTGTGCGCAGCTCCCGTGCCAGTCACGGAGGCTGTGCTTGGAGGACGGGAAGCAGCTGTGAAGCTGGGCCGACACTGACTGACTGTGACTCACGTCCCAGCTGCATGACCAGGGCATCAGGCTCGGGGCACAGAACCCGGGGCACCTCTGGCAGGAGTTCAGGCAATGGGAGGCACCTGCCGGGATGCAGGGCCCACTCAGGCCTCTGGAGTGGGACCTCAGTCCTGCCGAGGCCCAGCCAAGGGCAAGCAGTCGCTGGGATGGCTCCTGTTGGCCCCAGGTGAATAATAAATATCCCAAGCCTCAGGCTGGCTCCATTTGCCACTGACCCCTAAATGCAGGCGCCCCCAAAGCAGAATCTCTGGTCCGTCTTGGCTCCTGGAGCTCCACCAGCTGGAACATCTGTGTGGACCAGATGCGCCTTCCCTCTGGGGCTTTGGTCCAAGAGGCCAGCTGGCTGGGCACTTTGGTTACTCCCTTCCACCTGTCCCTGAGGTACACAGGCCGGTGCTCCTCAGGAGTTAAAAGCTTTCTCATACTTATCACCAAGAACAGCATTCAGCAAGCCAGGCATGGTGGTGCAGGCCTGTAATCCTGGCACTCAGGAGACTGAGATGGGTTCTTGGCAACTTAGTGACACAGTGGGACCCTGTCTCAAAATGTAAAAAGGTCTGGGTGTGTAGCTTAGCGTGAAGGCCCTGGTTTTAATACCCAATCTGAAAAAAGAAAAAAAAAGACAGGAAGAAGACTCTAGAAGGCCCTGGAAGACCTCTCAATTCCCTTAGAAAAAGGCAGCTGCATCTTGGCTTTCAAAGGCCAATCTCCCAGGCCTGGTTTGGAACAGAGCGAGTGTCAGCTGCCTTGGCCTCAGGTTTCCTCTTGTTCTCTTTTCTCCATCAGATAAACCCCTCTGGTCTTCCCCTTCCCACCACAAACCTGGGAAGTGATGCAAGTGGCCCCCGCCTTCCAGGGCAGAGGCAGAGGCCGGCGCCCGTGTGTGGCCGGTGCTGTGAACCTCACGGCCGTGGAATGTCAGCACCCACCCAGTTGGCTGCTGCCCACACCGCAGCGGCCAGACAAGATCCACTCGGAGTGCATGAGTCACCACCCCAAGTGGGCAGCCACCGAGCCTCCCAGCCCGCACGGTCTCCCCCAGCCTCTTCCCACCAGGAGACGGCACGCGGCGGCTCCCAAACTTGCTGCACAGTGGGGTCACTGGGACCTTTCCAAGCACGGCAGCCAGGCTTTTGTCTGCAGGGATCCCTGGTTTAACTGTCCTGGGATGCAGCCTGGCCACGGGGACTCAGAAACCTCCCGGAGCTTCCACCGCGCCGCAGGACTGGAGAAGTGTGACAGACACCGGCCCTGAGGGTGTGTCCAGCTGCAGTTAACACTCTGGTGCCAGCAGACACTCGCCGCCCAGAGGTTCACCTACCAGACACTGTCCACTGTGCGTGTGAGACCAGTGACACAAAGGCCCCAATTCCCATTCACCTTCTGGGTCCTCACAGTGAATCATTTGTCTCTGTTCATGGGCACCAAGCTTGAAACTACACACGTGGTGTCTCCCCTCTAGGGTTGGCCCAAGACACACACGACAGGGGACTGTTACAACCTCAGGGGCCTTGGCGCTGGCCTGTGCAGTCTCTCCAGGTCTACACCTCCCAACGCATCTGGCACGGAATCCATCTGCTCTGATTCAGCCCACGTCATGGGCGGCAGATGGCTGATCCTGGTGCACACCGCTCATCCAGGGCACTGGGGAAACAATCAGTTTGTCAGGCATCCTGGGCCACAGAAAGGACTGCGACCTCTCTTAGTTCTTGGGGTTACTGGGGTATCGTCAAGTAGAGAGGTGCTATAGGGTAAAAGCAGAGATCACACACACAGGGTGAAAGGAGAGCCACACAGGGCAGCCCAGACAGCTTGGGCCAGCAGAGTGCCCCAGGCACACAGACTCAATTCTGCTGTACATTTCATTCTCCTCCTCTAAAACTTGTCAGCTGCTCTCCTTCCTGCCCACTGCTTTCCTCCTATCTCCCTGCCTGTCCTTCTGTCTGTCCTTTCTGTCCTATCACTCTTTCCCTGCCCATCTGAGCCGAGGCCACCCTGACCACTCTGGCCCTGAATGACAACGGTGGTGGTAATCATCACAGTGTCACATGCTGTTCTAGCTTAGCATGCTCACTTCACCCTCACACAAACAGACAAGGAAAGTTACTGCCACCGTTGTCCACGATACTGGTGCTGCCACCTGCCTCACAAGCACAAGGTCCCAAGTTCGATCCTCAGTACCAAAACAAAAAAAGAGAGAAAACCAGGCTGACATCAGACTAAGGCTCAGCCCAGCCGAAGCTGATACCGTACTTCAATACGCATCTGCTACTCACATTCACCTCCAGTGCACCAGCCGTGTTGGTTTTCCTTCCCGGCTAGACTGAAGCTTGCAGTGACCGACACCTTCCCTCTCCTTTATGTCCAGCAGCCCTGAGCATGAAGCAGATCATGAACGCTTGCTCAGAACCTTCAGTGACCCCTCTTGCCTTCAGTAGAACACAGGGTCTTGGTCACTCTGGGGAGCCCCAGAGCTCCGTGAGAGGCCAGCACACCTGCCTTGTCTGCCGTGGCGTCCCCGAGTGCAGGTGCAGCTTGGCACCATGAAGGTCTCAGGAGGGACACAAGTGTGTGGAGAACCTCTAACCTTGTTTCCTATTTGGGATAATCTCTTTTGCCTCACAGGATGGGTATAAAGGTAAAGCTAAATGAGGGAAAGGACATGAAAGTGTTTTGGGAATTACCAAGCCCACCCAAAAGCATGCATTGCTACTCTGAGCCCCAAGCCAAACAGCCTTCTCCTTTTCCTTGCGTACTTGTGCTACATGGGCCCACACAGACGTGGAGCTGGCTCCTTCCTGAGTCTACACCAGCACTGGGCACACTTTCTCTGCAAGGGGCCAGACAGGAAATGCCACGGGCTCTGCAGCCACACAGTCTGTTGTCATCAAGTCAGGAGCAGCCCCACGAGTGTGGCCAAGCTCTGGGGAAAGCCGGCGTGGGGAGCCTGCCCCACCCTGATGCCTGTGGGATTTCTCCTGCCCAGGATCCATTCTCCCCACACCTCCTGGTTCCACCTTTTCTGTGGAGTCCCGGTGAAATGCCTTCAGCCTACAGCAACCTCCTTATTCCTTGCTCTCCTGATAAATCCCATGACACTGATACCCCAAGTGAAGAAAGGCATTTACAGTTCTCCCTCAGTCACGCTCCTGGGTTTCCTGTATGTCCTCGTGCTGCCAGTGAAGGGGCATTGACCCCCCCAATGGACACCTCCCACAAGCAGACAAAGGCTTGATCTCCTGGTCCTGTGAGGGGTGCAGGTCTGGTGGAGGTGGGGTGAAGCAGGCAGCTAGGCTCACTCCCAGGCAAACATCAGGCAAACATCAGCCTGAAGTCCCAAAACCTCAGGTTCCTCTTGCCGCAGAGCTGCAAAGTACCACACGTCACAGATCTCTGCAGCTGCCTGCGGTGTAAAACCCTGCTGTAAGGACCTATGGAGGTGCCTTCAGAACTACATGTGGCATCTAATTATATGCTGCCTTCTACTGTTCAAGGGCTGTTTCACCGATGTTAATTCCATCTCCCCAGTTAGATGCTCCCTGGAGGGAGACAGACTTCCCGCCTG